GCGGTATTTACTTGAAGCATGATTCTCCCCCGCACATCATTTTTCATGAGTGCGCGGTTCAGATTAAACGGGTCTTTTGATGCTTAGGAAAGCAAAGCACTTTACTCTAATGGTGCTACTAGTAATTCGATTTTCTGGGTAAAAGCGGAAGCCAACATCCCAAAACAAACAAATGGAGGTCTTCTAATAGGAGGAGACTATCCTTTTAACTTCACTATCTTTTTATTTTTTTTAGCTTAAGCATCAAAGAACCTTCATTATAATTTTTCAACGTGGACAATTAAGGCTACTATCCAATCATCATAAGGATCTGCTTGGAAATACATTATATATTAACAAATGTCACAGCATGATATGAGGAAAAAAAAAGAGAAGGGGTGGCGAAGAAGATAGATATTAACAAGATTAAGCATATTAAATGCACCACGGTGCAGATGATACTCTAATATTAAATGTCAAGTCTCAACTTTTTACTTTTTAAATCCATGTATCTAAAGTAGAGAAAATATGAGCTTATTTTTACCTCTCCAGGACTCCATATCTTTTTCAGCCAAATACTTGTATTTCCAGAAATCTTCTCCGTTTGCATGTTAGTTCTGTAAGATTGACAAAAAAGCAGGATATGAATATAACCAAAAGCAGACATCACTGAAACAGACAATACAAGAGACCCAAAACACAGAATGGTGGAATTTAAAAGACAAGAAACATATATGTCTAAGGATATATTTATAAAAGAGAAACATAAATGAAATGACTAATAAAGTACTTATACAGGCCGGCTCAAGTGTGGACTCTGAGCGTTCAAACACTCACTGGGTTATCGCACCATATTGCGGGATAAGATAAATGAAAAGTCCAAGCAGCAATCAAGTAAGAAAGAGATGGTTGAGTGCGGGAAATGATATAACATACACGAACAAATAAGACTCCTTTACAAAAGATACATGATAGAGCAAACTTTTTTTCTTCTGTTAACATAACTTACACGAACTCAACTTCTGATGTTGATTGTCCAACAATGGGTGACTGGCCAGTTGTTGCACTAGGAATTTGTGACACTGCTAAAGTAGCAAATGGGTTGGTTTGAGGTCTTATGATACCAGTGTTGATGAATCCTGTATTTGAGGGAAAACCATTTCCATGTGTAGCGGCAGGTAATTGGCTGCCAACTGAAGTCACCGTCTTAAAGTTAGAAGAAACCGTTAAGGAACTGCAAATGGTAATGGTATTACAGAATTGAAGAAAAATAACTCTTACCAACACTACCAGAAAGAAAATTGTTTGTTCCCACACCACTCGGAGTCAGGGAAGAATTAGGTAAAGGATTCAGCTGTTGAAAACCATTATTTGATGGTGCAGATGGCCTGAGAAAGAATTTCGCTACACATTTATACAGCCCAGCAGAAATCATGGGAGCAGGATTACAACAACTAACTAGTGAAGTGAGACTTGCCTTGGTCCAAAACCCGTGTTCAGGGATGTGCCCAATTGGGTAAAGCTTGAGACTGAAGGAGCAACACTATTTTGAGCAGTCTGCAAGAATCCATTTGGACTAGCTGATGGCGAAGGGTTTTGGCTGGCAAGGGTAGAGTTTGGTAAAGCTGTGCAAGGCTTGCAAAGATTCTCAAACTCAAGCAACTTGGTATTGAGTAAACTTCTCTCTCTTTCAACCTGTACAGAATGTATTTAATTAGCAGCCCACAGAAGACAGCAAGGTTTTTATTTTTTATTTTTTTAGTTGAATCAAAAGAACGGCAAGAGTAGTTAATTAGAATGCTGTTTCCTATTCCCAATTACTTTGAACAGCATCATTAGAACAATTTTCACATTGAGTAGCAGTGCAGAAGTCAGGACTTAGCTTCTAGTTCTGTGAAAAAAGATAATCCTACTAAAATTCAAAAACTAAGTCCCATCAAGTATTGTTTTTCATGACACTGATCCTTCGCCTGGTATTAAATTACAAGACTAAACTTAAAATTCTATTTTCTCAAAACTAATTGCAAGAATAAATAACCACCATAAAGGAGCAGCAGTAACCACGTCTCAATACATATATACTTTTAATCACGAATGTTTCACTAGGCTTTCATTCTCAGTCCTTTTACTAGGCTTTCATTCTTGAGCCAAAAGTTAATGGAAAATTCAAATTTATGAAAATTGAATAATAACCAATTTGTGATTGCAGTTTGGAAACGAAACCAGAAAAGCCAAAAAACACAAAGAATAAATAGATAAAATTATGTTTTCCCTTTTTCTGTCCTGGAAACATAAAGCAAAAGAGTTGGATCATACTCCCCACAAGGAGTCAATATTGTATGCAAATGAGAGAGAAATGAAAAAAAGGAAGCCAATTCACTGTAGGTCTAAGCATATCGTTTACATTTATCTTATTATTAAAGAGGCTAGAGGTACAACTGTATAAGACTCTTCGCCTTTTATTACACTAGCCTTTAACTTTTTGATTATTTCCTTGGTATCTCTTTCCTTAAATGCAGTCTGAAGCATACCTTTAAATATTGATTAGGTTACAAAATTGAGCTATTCCTTCCAAATTGTGGGAGGCAAGCATCAGGCAACATTCATTGACACACAAACATAACCATAGAAAATATATGATCATGGTATTACAGAACCAATTGTCTTATATCTTTGATATAATACAGAAATGGATCTAAATGCAATATGTCAGACTATCTTACTATTGACTGCAAATTCAACCCGCGGTTGGCATCATCGTATGCTGCTGCCCTCAATTCTTCGTAACTAATATCACCAGCAATGTCACAAGGAGAACTGCAAACAATTGGATTATACTTGGTGGACAGTTGGATCGGCCAATTAATCTTAATCATTTCACAAAAAATGACTAAAAGTTCTACTGCAGGGATCTGGTGGTAGACTGAAGAGTAAGTTCATACAGATTAATATAATTTATGCCTAGTAAATTCTTACATATAAGAAATTATACGCTGAAAATAAAACATAGAGAAAATATGACTCTTTCTTTTTCTCTTATCGATTTTCTCATCATGACAAACCCAGAACTCAAGTTTGAGTAACTGTGGATAAGACTTGTTTAGTAAATCAGACATGCTCAAGTTTTTTTTATCGGTGGTTAATCAAAACATACTTTTTCCAGTGACCATAGCATGTAAGCTTCCAAAGTGGTCTCTCATGCTTAAAATCATCAACAATTATACTTCTGCATGACTTGGGATCTGTGCACCTTCAGATACAAGGATTCATAAGTGGTCAGATACGTTATTTAAGTGTAACAGGGAAGATAAAAAGTGGCAGCGCAAAGGTAGTAGCACTGCACAGAGACATGCACGTAAATCGTCAATCAATAACTTACGTATGATTTGTTGCCTGGGCCTGCTTATCAGATTTCTGTGATGATGGGGCAGCAGCTGCAGTTGCGGAGGAGAAACGAGACCACTTGTTTTCAAAAGGCTGGTCAAAGGCAGATCGATTAACCATAGCAATAAGCATAATACTATGACAAATCTTTAATAGCATTAAGAAATGTGTGGATAGCTAGGATGTTATCCAAAGAAAATTTGAAAGCCAACATCAGCAGTAACCACAAGAATAGTAATTGTTTAGTACAAACTTGTTAGCTTTCAGAAAATTTGAAAGAAATCTTGTCACTTGTCATTCTCATTCTCAATAAGGAGTAGGGACAGTTACAGCTTAAATAAGAAAAGACTAAAGATGTATGAAGGGAAAAAACCTTATTCTGGCTCTGTTTGGGACCAAAATCAGCAGCCCCTTTTGTCTGAGAATTGTTTTGAACCCCAAAACCATAAGGGTTGGACTTTCGCTCTTGGTCGGAGCCAAATCCAAAGAGATTGGACTTGTGCTGTTGGTCGGAGCCAAATCCAAAGGGATTGGACTTGTGCTGTTGCTGAACCACATGAAGATATTTGCACCTATCTCCAAACTGACAGCTGAATGGAAAAACAAACACATCTTACACTTTGGTGGTCAAATACAGAGCTAGTGCTTGAGTGAACAACTCTGCAATGAAAGGGAAGCAAAACTGAAGGAAAAATATTAAAAATGCACAAAAGCATGTCCAAAAGAGAAGTTTGAAAAGATGAGAAGAGCAAGTGGCATCTATTAGACGATTCGCACATTGTTTGGAAAGTGCAGTATGTAAACAGATTGGAAACCATTTCCTTTAAGGCAGTTTTCATGGATAAAGTTGTACTTGTGTCAACGGATACGATATGGTATAACCAATTGGGTTGGGTTGCCCGACGTGGAGGAGGAGAGCCGAGTGTCTCCACTCGATCCTGGTGCTGATGCTAAGGGAGAGTGTTAACATTTTCTTTCCTTTTCTCGTAAGCATTGTAATTGAAAAAAAATCATCATATCCTAATAAATTAATAGAGGAAAAGTAACATAAGACCTAACCAGTGCTGCAGTGCATATGCTCAAGAAGCAAGCAATAGGCAAGGCGAAGCATGAATGAATGAAGGAACGAATCACCAATTAGTTAGTCATAATTATTTTTTGAGCTGCTCGCCTGCCTAGGGATCAGGTAGGTTCAAGAATGATTTCTGATTTCTTTTCTACTAGAAAGTAAAATTAAGTTGATATTTGCAGCAATCAACAAAAAAATTCAACATAAGAGATGAGCAACCGACTTACTTGCCGCGCTGAAAGAATTTGCAGGGTTCTCTCTTTACAGGCATCCCTCCCTCCCTCCCTCACTCTCCCTGCACTGCCCAATGACAATTTCCAAAAGGATGTCCAACGTCGCTGAACCAACCAACACAGCAGAAGCAACCCTTACCCTTTTTTTTTTTCTTTGGTTAATTTTGGGTTCCTCATCCTTCCTGCCTCCTGCGTAAATTAAATTAAATTGACAGAGAAAAGAGAGAGAAATTTGGGCCAACTCAATGTTGGGCTTTTGGATGGCATTGAACTGGGCTTGTGGGCCGAAAGATAGGAAAAGGAAACAGCTAGGGTTCCCTTCGATTTGTATCGTATTACTACGGGCACTGGCGCTGGCAGATAGAAGGGAAAACTACAGGGGAAGAAGAAGAGACGTTGTCGGTAGACTGAGTAGTTAATTGATATCCAAAACAAAATTCATGTATAGAAGAAGAACAAGTGAATCTGAACCCAATAGTTTGCAAAACAACAAGGAAGAGGAAACAGAAACAGATGGAGATGGAGGAGGAGAGATGTGGATTCGGATACATGTTGGGGGATTGGGAGGTACTGTGACGGAGGTGGACCTGCGTCGGATGTTCTCCGGCGGAGGAACCGTGGAGGGAGTGGACATCGTCAGAACCAAAGGTCGCAGCTTCGCCTACGTCGACTTCCGCCCTTCCGACGACAAGTCCCTCTCCAAGCTCTTCACGACGGTTGCTCTCTTTCTCTTATTTTTTTTGGTCAAATTTCTCGTAATTCTTTATTTTATTTTTTGGGTAAATTCCAATAAATTATCATGAAAATTGTGTTGTAGTAATAATTATTGTGTAAATTACAATACAAAATTACAGTACAATGGGTGCGCGTGGAAGGGAGGGAAGCTGAGGCTCCAAAAGGCTAAAGAAGATTATCCTGTTCGCTTGCAACGCGAATGGGATGAAGATGCTGCTCGACTTGCTGCTGCTCCTCCTCCTCCAGATGATGCACATGATATTAAACATTCACTATCACACTCAACCAACACCAGCAGCAACAACGCGAAGCAACTTCGGATTTTCTTCCCTGCACTAAGAACCGTAAGTGAAGAAGCACCACACACCTTCCTTCCTTCCTTTGTATTTATTTGTCTATTTTAAACCAACAACATCATCTCATTCGCTCCTTCGTTTATTCATTAATTTGTGATCTTGTCCTCCTGCGTACTTGTGTTTTTGCATAAATATAGGTGAAAGCTTTGCCCTTTACTGGAACTGGCAAACACAAATACAGCTTCCAGCGTCTTCAAACTCCTTCTCTCCCTGTCCATTTCTGCGACTGTGAAGAGCATTATGTCCCCGTCCCTTCTCAACCTACTACTACAAAACCCAATCAAACTCAATCCGACAAGTTATTATGTGATAATGGGATCAATGAGCAAGAGCTTAATATAATGACTAAAGTCATGGACAAGCTATTCCAAACTCAAAATGAAACAAATGTCGCTCATGATGGTACTCATCAACAACCCCATCAACTGCATCTTGCTGCTACTACTCCCCCTGACGAAGACAACCTTATCATCAACGTTGTCTCCAGCAACCAGGAAAAAGTCGAAAAACTATCAGAATTTCAGGTATATCCCTTAATCTTGAATTTTCTCTGAGACTCAAGTTTGCTTCTGTGCTCATGCACACAATGTCTACAGCTTTCTAGCACCATCACATCTCTCTTTTTTCTATATCTGGTAACTAGGAATTTAAATCCACTGAAACACAAGCTCTGAAAGGGAAAAGATCGTCACCAAGTGAAGCGCAGATAAATATTAATGAACCTCCTAAGAAAAAGAGGAAATCCCTGCCCGGTGATTACAACCATCAAAAGGAATTGGAGGCAGCTCTTTCTGGCAGCAAGAAGAATTTGCCAACCCAGTCAAAAGTTTCAGGAAAATTCTTTGGAGCACAACCAGATCAACCAGAATTAGGTCAGCAACAGGTTTCTTGGTCTCAGAAGTCTTCTTGGAGACAACTTATCGGTCATAGGGGAAGCAGTTCATTCAGCGTTTCACATGTACTGACCAGGATTGCTCCTTCTGCTGACCAAGTTGAAACAAAATCTGGTAGTTCAGAAGTGTCCCTTTCTGATAGCGAAAACCAGGATTTGGAAAGCAATGGAAACTCGGAAGACCAGCCCAGTGAGATGGAACTGGTGGAACCTACCAAGTCAGTTGTAGTTTCAAATAAGTCATCGGGTAGAGGTGCTTCTTCCACTGACCAAGTTGAACCAAAATCTGTTAGTTTAGAAGTGCTCCTATCAGATAGCGAAAACCAGGATTTGGAAAGCAATGAAAACTTGGAAGACCAGCCCAGTGATATGGAACTGGTGGAACCTCAACCTACCAAGTCAATTGGAATTTCAAATGAGTTTTCAGGTAGACGTCCTTCTTCCGCTGACCAGGTTGAACCAAAATCTGGTAGTCCAGAAGTGCCCCTTTCTGATAGTGAAAGCCAGGATCCAGAAAGCAATGAAAACTTGGAAGACCAGCCCAGTGATATGGAACTGGTGGAACCTCAACCTACCAAGTCAGTTGTAGTTTCAAATAAGTTGTCGGGTAGAGGTTCTTCATGGCGCCGGCAATCCTCATGGACACAGTTAGTTAATGATAATACTGACAGTTCATTCAGCATAAAACAAATTGTGCCAGGTATCTCTTCTGAGCAGCAGGTCCTTCCAAACCCCAAAGGTGCTGATCCTGTGAGCTCCACTGACTGCAAGCTTATGGAGATGGTAAAACAAGATAATGACAAGGGCAGGTCTTGTTTAGGAATTGGAAGAGAAGACAGTGTTTTACTAGGTAGTCTAGAAGATACTATAGTAGACAACGATGGTGCTTATGATCCAGATGATATAACACCAAAGCAAGCATCTGCGGCAAATATTGAGATAGGTGAAACTTGCTCATTTATGAGGACTGCTTCTTCGTTGAAGGAATGGGCGAAAATCAAAGTTGCTCTAAGTGGATCATTGAAAAAAAAGAATGTTGAGAATTAGGTGGCCGTTATTGAAGTAATAGAAGCTTTTGCAACTGATGGCATCAAGTCCTGTTCTGAGATGATACCTCTTTCGAACGTATATTAGCTTTGCCTTGGATCAGTCCCTGCAGAGTCCGAACCAGAGTTGGAGCTGCTTTTGCATCCGTCACATCTGTCGTTGTTACAGCTTTCTTCTGCAAGAGATTTGGTTAACAGGGAATTATGCAATTTGTTAGGGGCTTTGTATTTTTGTTTTTTTTAGAAACTTTTTCAGTATGTTGGTGCTCGAATCGGCCAACTTGCTTTTCGGTTAGAAATGGATATTGGGTTGCATTAGGATCAGACCTTCTGAAACCCCGGGGCGATCCAATCTCTTTGAGACTGAAAGCTGCAAAGAGGTCATGCTGGTATCGTATCTGATTTGAATTGAGTTTTCTGTTTTGAAAGCAAAATTTTAATTCCTAAGCCTAGCAATGCATTGTCGTCCTCAGCTTAGTTTTGCAGCGTCATCCGCATCTGCATCGCCCGGTATCAACACTGTAACAGTTGTTTACAGAGTGGAATCCATTTACGACATTGGTGCACAAACGGAGGAAGTTAATGGAGTTTGACATTCATCGTTTTTTAATGTGAGCCCACAATTTAGCACGGAAACCCATAAACCTATCTTAGTAGTGGGCAAGTCATTGGTATAGGTCTTAGTAAGGAATGGACTACAAAATATAGACAAGAGTAATTATAAATACATCGTATACCAATATAAAAGGCATGTACAAATGATTTGTAAGCTTATATACTACATCTATTCTCACATTTTGTAATTCATTCCGTACTAACTTAGCCTCAATCCCTTTTGAAAAGTTCTCACTCAAACATAGTCCAAAGGTTCGGCCAGAACAAACGTACCAAAGATATAATGAGCTAAAATCAGGAATTTCATTTTCATTTCATAAATAGAGGTACACTTCTATAAATTTATCCCAGCAGACGGTAGTAATCCCTACCATGTTGGGCAGGGATAAGTCCCTTCATGATTTCAATTTTATTGCTTCAACATACCTTGACAAGTTATTCCATCAATTCTAATCCTAAGCACCCAGGAAAGCGATCTACATGAAACGGGTTAACCACCACTTGATGTTCCAATCCAATAATACATTACCATATGGAAAAAAAAAGCCTTGCATGTGCCAATGCATTATTGGATGGGGAACACCACAACATGACGGTGAACCCTTAAGTCCACATTAAAGAGTTACTCTACATAGCTTGACATGAGAATGTCAGCTATTTAAGAAATTGAGAGTTGTCCTACACTTCAATAAGAAAAAATGCTATCCCAATCTTTTTGAAAGAACATATTTTCAAAAATATTTTTAAACATAAAAATTAGTATCTCTTAAAATCAAATTGAGCATTTTACACTAAAATCCACAATTTAAAACACAACGAACAGATGTTCAGTGTCACAGTTGATGCTTACTAGTGCATAATTCAATACACTCACCGAGTCCACTTGTAAACAAACATAACGGTGTTAAAAGTTCTAACCCTTGATGGAAAAAGCTTTTGCCTCCATCTCAACTCTTCATTACATGCATTGGAAATAATAGTTTCCAGTTAAATATGAAATCAAAGTACAGATAAGAACCTTGGTTCTTGCCCTTAACAGAACTGAAGCTGCCACTCTTCTAAATTTCTTTGAGTTCCTGTTCAAATTGAAGCAATTTCTCACGAACAGGCTGCAAAAATAGCTTCAAATCCTGGCTAACACGTAACTTATCTTGATGTAGAAGATCCTTCTCTTCACTCAATTTCACCTCCATCTACATTTTACAATTAAACAAAACAACAAAAAAAAAAAGACTGCAAATCGTTAGCCGATGCTTTGTAGAGAAAATTAATGGCTTATATAAATACAAGTTAAATATCAGAACCACATTGTGCGTTATGACAATTCAATGAGTACGGACATCTTACGGTTAATTGAAATATTCACAATGTCATCTAGCTGACTGCAGCAATGTTTTCATATTACTGACTAAAAACACATCAAGCCCCAATTTAAAGTAAACAACAAACAACTTAAACTACCTTTCGGTTTCCTCTTACACGACAAATGGAGTTTGGATTCTTTGGAATATGTAGGACCAACAATAACTTTCATATTGGGAGGGAGAAGGAGACCCCTGAAAAATCTTGCCTTCTGTCTTACGGTAATCAGGTTTATAAGGACTAGGCTCACCTAGATCCCGACATGTATCCCTCAAAGTTAGGAAAACTAAACATGGCAATGGATATTTTGTAATCCAGTAATTGCTTACTGCAGAGATTTTCCAGTGCAGGAAACATTAAGCCGATAAATCATTTGCTTCTAAAACGTTATGGTCCTTGGGAAATCGAAAAATAACCCCCAAAAGAATCAGCGAGACTGCAGAATCAAGGTTCAAGATTTTTCTCGAAAAAAATCCCTTCACAATGGTAGCAATTCAATGGGAAAGTCGAGCCTTCCTCAACTCGAAAAATCTTCCATAAAGCAAAAAATTCTGAGCGCATGAAGGACTCACCCAACCAAACATATATTCCCCCAGCATAGACATCCATAAACCAAGTCCTAATCCTCTGCTGGATCACCCAAGGGAAACTCTACAACCTCACCTATCAGACACTTTTTCCAAATCTATAAAAATCAGATGCAAATTCTTTTTCATATCTCTATATCTTTCCATCGATCTTCATAAAAGATAGATTGCCTCCATGTTTAAGCACCTTGGCATGACTAATTAACTTTATACTCCTATAGTTCAAGCAATTTTGTACGTCACCCCTATTCTTGTAGATAGGCACCAAAATGCTTTTTCATCACTCATTTGACATTTTCTTCATTTTCAAAATCTTATTGAAAAGGTTTGTGAGCCATGCTATACCCATCTCTCCCAAGACATTCCACACTTCCATTAGTATATAATTTGGGCCCACTATTTTTCTATACTTCATCTTTTTCAAAACTACCACCACATTTTCTTTCCTAATTCGGCTGTAGGAGTCATTTCTACTCTTCTGAGTTACTCAACTCCCCCAAAGAAGTACTCCTTTTGTGTCCTTCATTAACAAACGCTACGAGAATATACTAAGGTGATAATTCAGTGTCACAACACAATAGTGAACAAAAGTCTAACACTTCCTCCTAGGGACATTTTGGTCATTTCAAACTTTTAGGTGCGTTTGTTATACGGGACTATCTCGGACTGGACCAACTTCAGGGACTAAGTTGGACTGGCTTAGAACAGACTACGCTAGACTAACTAAATGAGGCGTTTGGTGTAGTATCAAACTACAAGCAGGATAATAAAAGTAATTTTTTTCTTCTTTTTTTTTCCCTGTTCTATAATCCGGACTGGCTTCAAACAAACTATGTTGGACTAACTAAGTGAGGCCGTATAGTATCGGACTACAAGCAGGATAATAAAAGTAATTCTTCTCTTTTTTTTCCTGTTCTATAACCCTCCCCCTCCCCCTCCGCCAAACCCAATCTCCCTCCTCTCACAAATCAAAATCATAAATCCCAATTTCACATGTTTCTCACAAATCACAAAACACAAATACCAAATTTCACAACTTGCTCCCTAATTTCACAATCGAAATCGCCGCTAGGTCTGTCATAATCGGGACGGTGAAGCTCCCAAATTTACAGTTTCAGCTACGCTCAGCTTCTTTCCCACCACCGATATAAACCCCAAATGGTACTTGGGCATTTGGTACGCTCTGATTCCGATCCCAACTAGAGTCTGGGTCGCGCACAAACACGGAGATCAGCGTCGAGCTTCTGATGGTGGTCTGGTGGTTGTGGTTGAGCAAGACAAAGAGAAAGGGAGATAGTGGTGATTGTCTGATGGTGTTATCTCGCTGGAGAGAAGACAGGGGGCAAAGAGGGGCGGAATAGGAGAGAGGACAGAGAACAAAGAGGGGACGCTAGCAAGAGAGTAGAGACTAAGCCAAGATCTTAGCTAGCCCCATGGTCTTTCAAGGACTCTTGCTAAGAACCTCTAGTGACACCCTTAGTCTGGGCTAGTCCCGCCTAATCGCATTAATGTTTGTCACGCACAGTAACAAACACGGGACTAGACTAATAGTTAGTCGAGTTAGTGAGGGCAAACAAACGCCCCCTTAGAGATTAAAATATTCTAATTTCGGAGACGGTTCATAATAGTGACGAATGTGGTGGCAGCAACTGTGGTGGTGGCAACGGCAGTGGTGATGTAATGTTAGTGGTTGGTAGTGATGGCCACTTTGTTCTCCAATGGAGAAAATCTATGTAGAAGAATAAAGAAGGTCATTTTTAAAATGAGGGCCTTACATGAATTAAAAACATTCATTAAAGGCTTAGCTCTGCTTTTTATAAAAGCAGCTTTTACAAGCAATTTGCGGGCTACTTTTATAAGTTGTTGTCTTGGAGGTCATGAGTCATGACTTTAAATATAAGCAAGACATTTATTTTAACCGAACAATTTTTTATTGTTTAACTTTAAATTGAAGCAGGTTTAAAAATAAAAATAAAAAAAGGCAATGCCAAACGATGTCATTTGGATGAAAAGAAAAAAATGAATCTTAGATGATTACTGGAGGCAAGGGAGGAGGACTTTAGTGTATGGTAGCTTTTTAGTCATTTTCTGGGCATCTATTTCAGTTGCTTAACTTACTTTTAAGGGTGTAAGTCTTCCATCCACTTCATCTGATAGGAAGTCATCTGTTAGAGAGTCTGTCGATTATACTTCAAGAGTGGACTCCTTGACCATCAATATTGACATATGAATTTGTGACTTAATAGAAACATTAGGGCCTGTTTGGTATTCTACTTAAATCCAACTTCTTAAACTCAAAAACAATTTTCAAGTTTTAGACCTTAAAAACTTGTTTGGTATGACTATTTTCAAAAACTAAACTCAAGACTAACTCTAAAATATAGTCTATTCTCTAAAAACATAAAAAGTGAGTTTTTAGAATTTTTAAACTTAAACTCCCTTCTTTTCTCTCCCTCCTCCCCTCTCACTCCAAATCTCTCTCTCTCTCTCTCTCTCTCTCTTTTTTCTTCTTTCTCCCTCCTCTTTTTTATTTTTTACCTTTTTCGTCTCTCCTCCAATCCCCTCTCATCATTCTCTCGGTTCTTTCTCTCACTCATCTTCTCGTCCGATCCTCTCTTCTTCCTCTTTCCTTCAATCACCTCTTACTTTACTTTCTTTCCTCCTCTCTCCTCTTTCTCCCTCTCCTGCGACCCCTTCTTTTTAGATCTCTTTGTCTAGTTTGAGTCTCGCAAACCAATTAAGTGTTTGAGTCTTAAAGAAAATTATTTTCAAGAAATGTTTTGAGAAATGATAAAAAATTTCAAATAGGATACTAAACAGGTCCTTTAATATTTGTTAAATTTAAACCATCTACACATAATTGCATGATGAGATCAACAAGGCACATAAAAAGACTGTTAAAGCAAAACCATATTAAATAAAAACATTAAGTCTCTATTGTCTATCATATCTTCCCAATTTACTTTTTCGTAGAATTGAACATGATTATCATATACCTGCAAGTCATCTAGCTCCCCAAACGAGAACTCTGGGATATCTATCTGGCCCTTGATCATCTTTTTCTCCTCCTCAATTACCCACTCCCCTGATTTCAGGACAATACAGATTAAACATATTGAAATAGGAATAGAAACAATTCTAGAATGCAGAAAATTATTACCTTTGACTTTCAAGGTTAGTTCATAGGTGTAGCCAACACGTTTCTTGTTTCGCACCGTCACCAAGAATGCCTGATCATTCACTAACGGTCGCAATGAGTCTATTGCCGTATCACCAAATCAACAAGAAAAGAACCCTATTCACAACTAAAGAATAACAGATTCAAGGACAGATGTAATTTGATTGAGGCTTGGGCGTTACACAATGGAACCTAAGAGTTGTTCCTCTATGATCATGATTAGGGTTTTGGCAATTTTTCTACGAAAAACTTACACACATTGGTGTGGATGAAGTTGAAACTTCACTAATTAAGGAGCTAAGTAAACTATTCTACAAAACGTCTGTGGTAGAGAAGATATGGGGACATTCATCAGCAAAGAGATGAACATTGGTATAAAGCTTGAATTGGACTACAGTCATACGACAAGGGGGAAGAGTATGACGAGACACACTACTTCATCCTAGGTCAGTTAAGAAAAGTTTGGTCCATTCATTCCGCATTGTTTTATTCATTAAGTTTGAATTTTTCCTACACTAAAGTATCACAACAATCAATCAAACTTCTCAAATATGGATGAGAGAAAACATTGGGCAACAAAAAGATTAAGAACTCACATCTCCTACACATTTAGAGACATGTGATATTTCTGCTATACCACCTGAGAACTCCAAGGAACCCACCGATGCAATCAACTCCTGCAATAAAGAGAGGGATGCAAAAAGGAAACTGTACACCGCAATCGCCGGAGAAAAATGGGATTGTACAATCAGCAGGGAAAGAAGAGAACAAACCCTTATTCTATCGGTTGCCCATTTATTCACATTCTTCTCCTCCCAAGTTCCAGCCTGGAAAAATCAGTCCCAATCACTCAATCTTCACCCAAATTATATATTATTAATCTATATACTTAGAAGAAGAAAAAACTAGAATTTTTTTGTACCCGATTCCAGAGAGAACCGAGGTTGGAAGGGTGGGACTGGGCGGAGGTAATGTCCTGAGGTGAGAGCTTTCGAGGAACAGGCAGAGGCGCCGCATCCTCCGTCACTTGCCTCACCCAATAGGTGTACGACGCTCCCTGCTGCTCTTCTTCTTTCCTGTTCTCCGACGAAGACGGCGGCGACAATGCTCCTTCGCCCTCCATCCTATCCTTCCTTGTTATTATTCTTAATCTTATTCTACTAGGAAATTAATTTTATTAATCAGAGGGCGGAGGGCAAAGGGCAGAGACTCAGAGTGGTGGAGGTAGGAAGGAGCGACGGTCGACAACAACAGGGATAGGAAGCTCTTAATTGGGGTTGGGGTTTAGGGTGAAACTGAAACACACACTACATTTATATACCAGTTATATGCCCACACGCTATATTTGTCTATTATTTGTTATAAAAAATTTATATCACTTTACTTTTTTTCTTTCCTTTTCGATTTCTACCCGAATGACCGACAAAAACACAACTATATTATTTTTAAAATAATTTCTGTTTTCCTTAAGCTTTCTTTTAATTTCGTTAATGATTAATTAAAACAAAACAACACAACAAGGGATAACTTGATATAGATCCAATTTTATGAGCCATTAGTAGAATTAGTCCACTTCATTGAAATAGGTCCAATAATTGAGATTTCATGTATGTTTATTTGTGGTTTGTATCATATGTATCCCTTAGGCTTACGAATTGTAGTAAATACACAAAATTTCTTAATTATGAGATAATTTGTGGTTTAACTAATCACTTAATTGTAGGATTAGTTATAGCCATATAATCACCTCAACCCCCAGTCCGTTTCATCCCTCCTTTTTCCCTTCTTTCAAACAATTCCCTCTATCAATCCTCCTCTTTTTTGTCTCTTCTTTTCATGGGTGATATTTTTTTGTTCTTCCCTTCAAATTCGTTCATTTAATGGAGGTGTATTATATCATATTTTTATTTTTATGTACAGCCATGTAGGTTCCTAGCATTTTTCTTCCAATACAATAGGTAGTTTATTTTTGTTTTGCGGGTAGATTATCTCTGCTTTGTAGGTATAAAACATTTTCTTCCTATACAATAGGTCGGTAGTTACTAGATTATATCGGTCTTGTTTTCTTCATAAATAGTAGGTAGTTACTAGATAATATTTTAGTTTGAGTATTTAAATATTCAAAATTTAAAAATTGAATAAATGATAAAAAATTAAAGAATTTAAATATTTTTATCTGAATGAGCAAAATTGATATCAAAATATGTAATTGGATAACTAAACTCGGCGAAAACTACCTAAGTTTTTGGACCTAGATCCAAAAGCCCCTTAAAACAACCAAGACTCTTCGCGATCTTTCCATTTGATTCCCCCGGGCTGGTTCTTTCAATACTTGTTTCGTTTATCCATTTTAACATCATCTCCAATTGCAGAATATAAATTAAGTTTATATATAAATAGTTTTTGAAATTGACTTACATTATTAATATAATCTATGAAATTAAAAATCGATAAATGTAGTTTTACAATAAATATCTCAAATCATGGTGATCCTTTTTTCATAGTTCTTTCAAAAAATTTGTTATATGATGATGCGATACATAAATAGACTCACAAGTCTAACTAAATAAAAAATAAATTAGAAATAGGTCTAATAATTTAATTGTTAATTAAAAAAGTTGTGATTCCAAAAACTCGGTCCCGCAATCACTTCTGATCCTAACCCATACTCCTCTACCTCCATTCTATGGTAGCCTTCGCCGTCTCTTCTGTAAAAAAAATTATAAAATAAAAAATCTCAAGATACCCATCTTTACACCCTTCATCGAATTGATGATGACTTTTGTGAACTCACCGTCAACATTTGGGTGATCGACAGCCTCACAAATGTAATCTTGGAGAGCTTGTTTAGGCGTTACCTCGTTGATCTTGGTGATGCAGAGAATGCCAAGCTCTGCCTTGAGATAATATCACTGTGCAAAAAGGTGTTTTAACAATATTTTAAGGGTAAATTACAATTTCATACCTCAGGTTTGGGGTCTATTTCAATTTCTTACAACATCTTTAAAACATTTCACTTTCATACCTTAAGTACTATTTTATTTCAAAATAATACCTCCGTTACAATTTCCATCTATTGATCCGTTAAATGTTGACGTGGCTGCCAAATGTCTGCCATGTGGCAAATAAAATAACTTTCTTCTTCGTCTTCCTCTTCCTCTTCTTCCTTTTCTGGGTTGCTTAAAAGGGGAGGGGGTAGGGGACAATTTTTTTTTTTTCTCTTCCTCCCTCCTCCTCTTCTTCTTGCAAATGTGGGTTTCTATTTTTTTTTTTTAAGAGAATTCAGGTTTTTTAAAAAAAAATAAAAAATTATTTTATTTGCCACGTGGCAGACATTTGGCAACCACGTGGCATATATATTACAGCTACGTCAGCATTTAATGGATCAATAGATGGAAAATCTAACGGATGTATTATTTTGAAATAAAATAGTACGTGAGGTATGAAAGTGAAATGTTTTGAAGATGTTGTAAGGAATTGAAATAGACCCCAAACATGAGGTATGAAAATGTAATTTACCCATTTTTTAATTAATTATTAAATCACATCACCACATAACAGAATTTTGAGATTATTGTGACGGAATGAGCATATTAATTTGCGACACTTATTTTTAGGGACCATCTTGATCGTGTGAGTCAATTTTAGAGATCATTTGTTATAAAAACTCTTACATCTCGTGGGCCCTATTTATGTGACACATTAGCACATAACATAAGTTTTTACAAAATTATGACAGAAAAACCACATTGATTTGTGACACCTATTTTCAATTATTATATTAATCAAATTTCAAGGGCTATCTTAATGATGTGAGTCAATTTCAAGGACCATTTGTGATATAAACCCTATAAATTATTCACTTTAGCTAAAAAATGGGGAGAATTATTATAGCCGTCCACATTTCTTATTTTTCATTCACATTTTAGTGTTCCAAAATGACCTTTCCCTTACTATATGAAAAAATAAGATTTTTTTTTTGTCAAGAAAAATAAAATATTTAATACAAAGTAAAACTGACAAATTATCTATTCTTGGATACTGACATCCTCTAAACGGTAAAAATCACAACTGTCCCCCAAAATCACAAGCCCACCCACCACTACCCATAACACCTGTTAGTATCCCAGCAACCTGGGATCAACCTTAACTTGCAGCAATGGAGGTTATAGAGAGAAGAAGGAGATAACAGTTGAAAAGTATTCGTTATTCATTTCTGAATATGTGTTACCTCCACAATAGTAAAGACATAACAAACTTGCTAGCTCATCAAGTGTGCGAATGCCAACTAGACACAATAAGACCCCACTTAATCAATGAAATTCATTTTCTCTAACATGATATCAAAGCCATCTGTCCACCGACTTGATCCAATCCACATTTTCCCTCTCATAGCTTCTTCCTTAAGCTTTCTTTCTCCCTAAGCTTCTTCGCCAAGCTTTCACCACCAAACCTTAACTCTCTCACATGGCGACCTCAGCTTATCCATCTTCTAAGTCAGCAACACAGATTCGTCATGATCATCTCTCAAATTCAAGCTCTACTCTTTCTACGCATTTAATCACGATTCTAAATATAGGATCCATGGTGTCGATAAAACTGACTACAACCAATTATCTCAACTAGAGTGCGTTGTTTGCTCCGATCTTTTGTCGCTATTATCTTACTGGAATTCTTGATGGATAGGTGACTTCTCCACCTCAATTCATCTCTGATGCTGTTGGAAATCAAGTTCTGAATCCGACATACGTTTCTTGCTTTGAGAACGATCAGAACATCCTAATCTGGATCAATTACACGATTTCTGAATCGATCATTCCTTACACTGTTGGAGTCACAACATCCAAAGAACTTTGGGCAAAATTGGAGTCATGACTCGCGACGGCTTCTTAATCGTACATCCATGAGCTCCGATCACGTCCGCACAGCATCTTGAAAGGTGATTCCACATCTACTCAATATCTTCAACAAAATGAAGAGATTACTGATGCTATTGCCAGTACCGGTGCTCCGATTGAAGATTCTAAACTAATTTATGTCACACTTCATGGTTTTACACCAGAATATGAATCTTTTGTTAATGCGATACAATTCCAGCTAGGTTCCACCACACTTAATGAACTACATGGTCTCATTCTCAGTAAAGAGATTCAATTGACAAATCGAAAGAAAACTACTTAGAATGTGCAAATTCAAGCATATGATTCCACTGCAGGCATTCTTCCAACTCTAACTTCTCAGGCCTTTATTGCTCAACATAATTCTCAAAGTCGTGGTGGTAATCGCAGTTTCTCAAACCCTAGAAACTTTTAGGGATAAGGTAATTTTCAGTCCAATAACTATCGTCCAATAACTATCGTCCAAATTCATCTTATAACAACTATCAGCGTTACAATCGTGGTGGTCAATCAAACTTTACTTCTTCTAGAAGAAAGATTACATGCCAAATTTGTCATTAATTTGAGCATGATGCCATTGAGTGCCCTCAATGCATAAATCCACATTACTCCAGCAATGATTCTCATTCTGCTATAGTTACAAGCACACAAACTGCTCAACATACCTGGATTGTAGACTCTGGTGCAAGCAATCATATGTAATGGTTCTCATTGAGTGCCCTCAGCGCGTGAATCCACATTACTCCGACAATGTTTCTCATTTCAACCACAACTTTCCAATTATGTGACCAACAAGCACAATGCTCTTGTTGCTTCTATTCATGCTTCCAGAGATATATGGCATCAAAGACTTGGTCATCCTTATCTGAAGATACTAAATAAGTTGGCTACTAAGTCTTGTATTTCCATGTTTAGTAGTTCAAATAAGTCATTCTGTAATGGTTGTGCTTTAAGCAAAAGTTCCAGATTGTCATTTGTTTTTGTACCTTGTCATACAAGTAAGCCTTTAGAGCTACTTCACACATATGTTTGGGGGCCAACATCTGTCACTTCTGTGAATCATTTCATATACTATGTCATCTTTGTAGATGACTTTACAAAATATTGTTGATTCTATCTTTTGCAATATAAATCATATGTGTTTCCTACTTTTGTGAAATTCAAAAGTCTTGTTGAGAACATGTTGTATTCCAAAATTGTTGATCTCATATCAGATTCTGGTGGGGAATATCTCAGCACTCAATTCTCAAATTTTCTTGTTGAGGATGGTATCAGTCATCAATTAAGTTGCCGTCACACTCCTCAACAGAATAGTTATGCTAAGTGCAAACACAGACACATAGTTGAGACTGCCATAACGCTTTTAACAGTTTCCAAGGTTCCTCACACTTACTGGGATCATGC